TTTTGGAGTAAAAATCTATCTAAAGATAGTTTTCTATTTAAGATACGTTAATAATTTAGTTTATTCAACATGAAATGGAGCTTAGTTATGTAGCATGAGGCTGTATATTTTTTAATATTGGGACTGTCTGTTAGTCAACAGCATGTCAGAAGAGGAGCCGCAGCGGGACAAATGACAGTTGCTCTTTTAAAATTATGATTTAAATTGAGCTGATTTAAATCAAGCCTTTTTACTAGTGATTTAAATCACAATTTAAATATACCCTGTTATAAACAGACAGGTCAAAAGAAAAGATTCCCTATGATTTATGAATTAAAGTCTCCCAAGTTTAATTTTTATTTAAAGTTTAAGGATGTTCCAAACAGGATTGGAAGTAGGATATTTTTTCCCAAATCAAATCTGTTCTACCCCAATACTGATATTGTATTTATTTCTCATATTTTTATGGTTGCCCATCTCGTAAAAACAACAATGTATAACAATTGATAAAAACAACTAATATATAAAAACCGATCAATTTAAATATTAAAAAGTCACCATTACAAATGAAAAAAAACCCTACTTTTTAAAAATATATATATACAAACCACAGAGATACAGTAAAAGATCAACCACAATGGAGCCCTCTAAGAATGTTCCCAGTTCCCCTGGGACCTGAGGGCTGGTCTCATGCCTTCAGAGACAATATCTGAGGGACTCCAGAAATGGTAACTTGGGTGGGGGGGAGGTTGTGAAGAAATATTATATCAGGTGGGTAACACTGCAGACAAGGGCTGCCTCCTGGGACCCACCAAATGATATGTAGTGGGTTTTGGGGGGCATTTTTTGGCCAAGGCTCTAACAGCACTTTGCCGAATTCAGAAAGCATTACGCTCTCTAGTCTCCTGAAGTGCCTAATCGTGATGGCAGAGAGGGCATGACTCCTAGGAGTGATGAGCAAAGAACTCTGCGTATACCTAGAGCAAAGAATCTCAGTCTTGGCAACTTTAAGATTCACATACTTCCAACTCTTAAACTTCCCAAGCCAGCATGGGGAACTAGCTGGCTGAGGAAATTCTGGAAGTTCAGAAGTCCCAGAACTTTAAGTCCACATATCTTAAAGCGGCCAAGATTGGGAACCCCTGGCCTAGAATATATACTTACCAAAGAACCACCCAATAGATATACAGGTTGTCATAGCTGTCTAGCTAAGGCAAGCACACACCTCTATCAGCATAAACCAGTCTGGTATAGCAATTATGGAATTGGATTAGAAACCAGGAGACTGTAAATTCTAGTCTTTCCTTTGGAAGGAAAGCCAGCTGGATTATTTATACCGTATTTTTCGGAGTATAAAATGCTTCGAAGTATAAGATGCACATACTTTTTGGGGAGGAAAACAATGGGAAAATAATCTGCCCCTGCCTCCCAGCAGAACCAGTTTGTCCTAGTTCTTATAATAGCTATAAAATTTGTAGATAAAGATTTTTTTTAAAGAAGGAAGAAGCAGGTGATAATTTTACTAACAATATTTAATAGTTTAATATTGTGTGGGAGAAGGCAATGGGAAACAACTACTGTGTTTTACTAAGAAAACTACATGGATAGGCAATATGGGGTGATTGACAATATAATGCTGGATGATGGGCCCTTCAGCTCAGCTAACACTCAATATGCTACTGAAGAATTGCTGAGTATCTTTTGGAGTACTAATGGTATTTATGATGTAGTAAGATTAAAGCCTTTGGGGGGGGTCTAGTTGCTGATGTTGCCATGAAGGAAAAGAAAATCAAAAGCCACAAAGACAGAAATATAGTAAGAATACAAAACATAAGAAGTATGAAACTCAATACGGTGAAAGATTAAATAAACTGAGCTAGAATGACATCTTAGGCACCAATAAATTGTAATGGACTGGAATTGACTACTTTCATTCCAGTGGTGGGATTCAGCCAATTTGCACCATTTAGGGAGAACCGGTTGTTAATTTTCTGAGCAGTTTGGTGAACTGGTTGTTGGAAGAAGTCATTAGGGCAGAGAACTGGTTGTTAAATTATTTGAATCCCACCACTGTTTCATTCAGGAGATCATACTGTTGTCTCTGCAGTATATGATAAACAAAGAGGGCAGTGCTAATTTCACAGGCAAGAACATTATGACAAACACAGTGCTTGGGTACAATAAACTCAGTAACTGATCAGTTGGACTTCACAGATAATCTTTAATTATAACAATTATCCAAGTTTGGGCATCAATCACTGATGCAAAAGAGGAAGCTGTCAAGTTTTATGGTCAAGTTTTTTAAAATGAAATCAACAGGACATGCCAGTTGTGCTGTTTATGATTGGAGACTGCCAAACTATGCCAAAAACACCATAGTTGATTATATAGGCTAAGTTATCAGTTTCTGCCAATCCAATTATTTCTTCGTTGCTAACAGTCTTCAAACAGCCAGAACATTGCCTCTTTACATGGACATCACCAGATGGAGTAAGACGAAACCAAATTGGTACAAGAAGGCAGAAGAGTTCAGGTACAAAACAGACACGACCAGAGACTGCAGAATAGACTGAAAATTGGTTAAATGCAAGTTCCACATCAAACTTAAGCAGAAAAAAGCCAACCACTATCTGCAAAATGATGGACTCAGCATTTTCAAGGAAACATCGGGATCACTTTGACGTTTTGAACCACATTGACAATTAGAAGAGTTAGAGGAATTGGAGCAAGAAATCAGAAAAATCTTAATGATGAAGAAACAGAAGAAAGCAAACTGGGTGTCAGAACAAATGGTGCAAATTGTCAAAAAATAAAAAAAGACAACGATCTCAGAAAGGAACTTAACAAAGAATATCAGAGAGCTGTTAGAAAAGACAAGAAGCAATACCACAATAACATCTGTCAAGACACTGAAGATGGAAAATGATGTTCAAAGAAAGTTCTTTGAACTGAAAAAAGTACCAAGTACTTATACCAAGTACCAAGTAGCTTATAATAAAAAGATTCAAAAAGAAGAGCAAACAAACATGGAAAGAACACACTAAAATCATTAAAGAACTCAACAGCCAAGATACTTTGTGATATTCCATGTTTACAAGAACCTCTGTACTAGAAGATGAAGTTAAAACAGCACTAAATTACCAAATCAGAGGGCTACAGGAATTGATTAAATATCTACAGAAATATAGCAAGCAATAGAAAAAGAAATTGTAAAAATTCTAATGAACTAGGCCAGCAAATCAGGAGAACATCAGTGATCAACAGATTAGAAAAGGTCAGCCTAATATATCAATACTAAAGAAACAGAATATACAATATCCTTCATTTCACATACTAGCAAAATAAGGTTTAGGATTATTCATTGCAGGTTAGACGCTACAATAGAAATGAAATAATGTCAAGTTTATTTTAGAAAAGACAAAGGAAGAAGATCTATTACTGTTGATGTATGCAGGACAATTGAAAAAGCTGAAGAATACCAAAAATAAGACAATATATGCTTCACCAATTGTAGAAAGCTCTTCTACTGTGTTGATCATATCAAGTTGTGGAATGTCCTTAAGAAAACAAGAATCCCAGACCATCCCATTTTCCTCATTCAAAAACTATACACAGGACAGGAAGCCACAGTCTGGACAAATAATGCTCCAAAAAGACCAAGAAGTGAAGCAATGGTGTATTAAAGTCTCTGATTATTTATTCAAACTAAACGCTGAATACATCTTGCGGGAGGCTGGATTGCAAGACAACGGTGTCCTTTAAACTGGAAGAAGAACTGGGCTAGGCTGGTGACATTACTCAGCTGAAAATACAAATGATCTGCAAACTCTAGTAATGAAAATCTAGGGGCACAGTGAAAAAAAGGACTAAATATAAAGGAGATGGGACAATATATACAGCAACCAGTCTTAGAACAGAAAGTGAAGATACTAAAACACTGAATAGCTTCTGTCTTTTAAGATCAACAATAAAGGAACTAGCAGTCAAGAATAGCTTCTCTTGATAAGTTTATAATGTCAGGAAAGGAGGAAGAAAAGAAAAAAGGACAACGAAAAGATGGATGGACCCGATTACAGCAACAATCAGTGCAATGCACCATTGACATGAAGCACCAAGTTTGGAGACCAGATCATCATGGAGAAAGTGTATCCTGTGTGGTCATGAAGAGTTACATCCACTTGATAGCTTGTTTATCAGATGCTTATCCCATCTTCCCTTCCACTAATTCAAGCGTGGCTTAGGAAAGGATTAGTTTTTTTATCCTCACAACAAAGATATTGGGTGGCATGGGCAGAAAAATAACAAACCGGTCTAGTGGAGCTCCACCCTAAATGCTTCATGGTAGAGCAGTAACCTGAACTCAAGTTTCCTTAAACTAACTTCATCTGCTCTGTTATACTTATTCTCTTTTGACGCGGGGGATCAAATTAACAAAATGCCTTGTAGCAGTGTTCCAACTGAAAAACACTCCAAGTATAAATCTGAACTTATTATGCAGGATGACTACCTCACAACTCCTCCAGACCAAGCAAGAATCTGTAATGGGGCAAAGCCACTGAGAATCCCTTCCAAATAAATCCATCTTCAAGTGAATCCACCTTCACTATGAAGATTGTAAGAATTTCCAGACCTTTTATTTTCTATGTGACATTCCACAACAATCTTACCATACTTCCACTTGACGATTGTAGGGCTTCCGAAGTAAACTACACACTTGTTTTTCACAAAATATCTAGTGAGAGCCAGAAATCAAGATCTTAGACCTTTCCAAGATCCCTTGGAAAAGGGAGATCCTGGTTAAAGTTCCCACTTGATCATAGAGTTGTGTCATTCACTCAACCTAAGTTACTTTACAGGATTATAATGAGAAATAAAATTAGAGAAGAGTCTGTGAAAGCTGCTTTTGGTTTTCACAGAAAGCAGGACATAAATGCAACAAACAAGTAAATGTAAACTAGAAGAAGAAAAAATAACTTAAGCTAGTTCGGCTGTTATTAAAGCCATGTGTAGAGTTCACTTACATGCAAGCAGCAATTCCATTGGAGTAAACAACACAGGTCCCACCATTCTCACAGGGTTTATTGCCATCTAGACACTGGACAGCTGTGGAGGAGGAAAAAAAAGAGCTTAGTTAAAACAAGCTATGTATAATGGCAGGAATTATAAATTTACATTTTAGCTCAAAAGAACAAACCAAAAGACTATAGTCCAATATAAGCTGGAACCACATGACTGGAAATCTACGATTTGATCTTAAAAACCAATTCTAAAACCTGCTATTTTATGACTACATCCTGTTTAATCTGGTACATCTTTTACTTTTCTATTCTCCAGTAATACTCCAAAATGAGTCAGTCAGCCTTCCTCTTATTTACTTTCCTTCCATCAAGTGAGAACTCGGATCCATCCACAGTGCAGATCAGTGTGTGTCTATCCTTCAGGCAGTAATTCTGCAGAGGTTCAAGCAAACTTTTCTCGGCCCCAACTCAAAACAAGAGTTCCTCTCTTACAACATACACTACACAAATAAATAGGAAGGGAGGTTCCTTCTATCTCCTCCCTGACACTATGTATATTGTTAAACAAGATGATATCATGAAGTTTTGCTATAACAATTCTTGTCCATAATCCCACAAATGAAAATGTTTCTTCCTAAAATACTCACTAAAGGAATGGCTATTGGTTGCTATCAGGACATTTCAGAACAAAGACAGAGGGTCATGAGAATTTGCAAAAATGTGAAAGTCGGGGGGGGGGGGGAGACTCTTAAATCCGTTAATGCATAATTAAAATAGTACTCCTCCATAAATGGCTTCAAAGATCCAAGAATTGTTAACCACCCTGTGTGGGGGGAAGGGGAAGAGGCAGAAGAAGAAAAAACTACTGATAACTACTATGGAATCCTCGGTAAAGTATGATATTACATGTTAAAATCAAATAATTAATTATGAATAGCAAAACTAGTGAGATTCTTTCATAGAATAGGCCTGATTGGTTCCACTGGCACAGCCTTAACCTCTGCACTTCTTAGTAATTATAGGCCACTTTCTTTGCTGAAGGTCAAAAGGTAAGCAGAAGCCCAGGAAAAGTCCAGAGGAAAAGGATGAATTGGCACATTCTTGGTAGAAAAAAATGGCCTCTTCTCATGACCCCCCCGCTCCTCTTCCTGTCTTGTGGGAAGGCAAAGCACAGATCTCATAGAGAGAAGAACTATTATGGGATGTACATGAAAGTCCAAGTCAGATGCATTTCAATATTCAAACATTTTAACCAGGAGAGACACTGACTACACTGGCTAAGAGGGATTGGAATTCATCTGAGAATTCTGTCAAAAATAAGCATGGGAAAGTTTATAACTTAATTATGGTTAAAGTTTATATTTTAATTATGGGATATATGTGTGTCTACTACTACTATCCACAACATATTAGGGGATATGTAAGTGTTCAATATACCATTTCTTTTCTTCAGAGCAAATGCTTAAGAGCAGTGGTTAGAATGCAGTATTGCAGGCTAATTCTGCTGACTACCTACTGTAAGCAGTTCGGCAGTTCGATCCTGATCAGCTCAAGGTTGACTCAGCCTTCCATCCTTCCGAAACTGGTAAAATGAGCACCCACAGATTGTTGGGGGCAATATGCTGAGAGTGTAAATCGCTTAGAAAGGGCTGTAAAGCACTGTGAAGCAGTATACAAGTCTAAGTGCTATTGCTATGTGCTATTATGTTCACACTCTTCAAAAAAATGACAATATGACTACCTTACTTCACACTATGTAGGCTCCTCTATTCAGTCCTGGATTGTTCTAGTGTCCGGGAAACCTTGTAATGACAATATCAAGGCAAGGACCAATGCCACCAAACAACTTAGCAGAGGAGCGGCTATGTCTTCAGTTGAAGAACTGGGTCGCTATGTCAGGCCTTACTACAATGACAGATTCCACTGCCAGCTCAACAACCTCAAGGGGGATTTCTTATCAGATGCAACCAGAAGTCAGCCATTTATTCAGCAGTGGCTACTCCAGGAGCAACCAAAGGTCTACAGACATACAACTACATTCTTGTCATTCTGCACTAGACATGAGGTTTTGCAGAGACTGGGCAATTCTAGGCAATGCCCTAGAACAGAAGGATCCGCAGGGACGGTTAATTGCAAGTAGCACTGAGCTCAGAAATGTCAGAAATATCTGCAGACAAACCTATGCTAACAAAAGTGGCTGCAAACATGAGGGACTCTGAATCCCACAGTCAGCCTCCTCTGAAAATGCTGGAAGCAGTGTTGAGTGGGGCATAAGGAGGCAATTAGTAAGTTGCCCAACATATTTCCTGGTAGGGGGCTCAGCCTAAGGGAAAGTACTGCAAATGGAAGCACCCCAACCCCCGTCAGCCATATGAGCGGAGTGCTTAAGTGCCCTATGAAAAGATCACAAGAAAACAGACCTCTATTCCTCAAGGAAGCCCTTATGCAAGAGAGGTACTGTTAGTGCTCCAGGCCCAGTCAAGGAGGGAAATTCAGCTGAAGAACAGGGCCCCGGCTGAAACCCTCCCTCTCAAAGCAGAGAGAAGATGGAAGGAGTTGGGGCCCAGGCAGTTCCCTCATTCTCAGCCACTTTCCAGAGACCCACTTGTAAGAGAGTGCGTGCCCAGCACACAGATCAGTTCCAGACAATGCCTCTCCCCCCTTCACTGCCGCCCCTTACTCCGTCAGCATGCAGAGCCAGCAAAAATGCTGCAGCAAAATGTCTCTCGGCAACTCTGTGCTCAGTCTGGAGTAAAATAAGCCCTACTTTAACTGAAGCCAAGGTGCTGTACTTTTCACCAACCCCATGGCTTTCACAAGACAACAAACATTACAAGTCATGGGGTTCTGACATTAAATACCTTGCTGGCATCTGCAGAGACTTACTCACATCTTTGTATGCAGAACAAAGCAGTCTATTTTAGCTCTCCGCCTTTGTAACAAGAACTATTCTCTGTATGCACATCATACTCTATGTACACATATGTACATACGTCCTAATAAAAGGGCAGGGATTCTTTGGAAGGAAGTCCTTCAAAGGACATCTTTCAAATTTAGCATCCTGCTTTTAAACACAGACACATTCTCAGAACAGACAACCAAAAGAGACAGTTAAGAATTTCATCAGAGATTATTCCTGGCACTGTGCAAGCCCTCATTTTCCTCCACAATTTCCTTCTTTCCAGAGCATGCAGCCAAATCTGAGTCAATGGAATGCAATCCCAGATCCCTCGCTGCTCTCAAAAGTTGCAGTTTCTACCATCGCACACCATCTTGGCAGCCAAGAGTTCAGCATATGTTACATTTTCAGCATCCATGCATTGGGGCCTGGCTAAGAGAATCTCAATTCTATAACACAGTGCTGAGCTCCAGCTGCCAATAGCTAGAGCAAAGGCCAAACAAACAACAGGTTAGTCTACAGCTGTGCTACAGCGAGGCACAAGTTTGAGATGCAATCATATATGCCCAGGAGGAAAGTACAACGTGGAATGCTGTGTCAAAAGAAGATACCTATCACTGGACTTCATATTTTAGCATTTTGGAAACCTCCATCCTGCGTACCTTCTTTTCTATTAAGTTAAACCTAGCAAGAGAGTTTGGACATGAGAGAATCCAGATTTCCCTCAGTTCAAAGGGAAGGCTAAACCTTCACATTCAAGCAGCCCAGGAATTCATTTTGATCCACCACCATTAGCTTCCCTAAGGAACCCAGAAAGATAGCTCCTGAAAGCTCTGCCTCAGTCTATCCAGAAACAAACAGGACAGCAATTAGGTTTCCTGCCCTTGAAAGAACCATTGGGAATAAGAAAGGGCAGAGGTTACTCATCCAGGCAGAGATTTTACAGTCAAGTGCTGACTCCCACTGCTTTGACCACTTAATCCTCACGTCATGTTCTTAGCATGACTAAGCTAAGTGCCAGGAGTCCTGGCTTCTCACCCTCATCCCATACATCCATCCTTTCCCCACGAGTAAGCAGCACTGCTTGTGTAAACTATATACAACAATGAAACAAGCCCCAATCCACCTTTCTTCTCTCCATCTGCCAAATGAAGTGGCTGTTTGCTCTCCTATGGCAGAACTAATCCTGAAAAGGCTATCTCTAATTTCCAAAGAAACATAAAAACAAGATTCTATTTTGCATTCCTTGCATTGGGAATTAATAAAGAAAACGATAGTTAAGAATTTGGTCTTATTGATGAAAATCAGAATCTCGGGTTGATTTGGGGTGGACGGTGGAAGTTCTTGCAGCTATGAAACAGATTTTAACTAAAGCCTCAGAAGTTAGGAGAGAGGACAAATGAAACCAGTGTTTCTCAACTTGGCAAGCTTAATATGGGTGGACGTCAATTCCCAAAATTCTAAGAGTTGAGATCCACTCATCTTAAACTTTCCAAGGTTGTGTAACACAGCATTAGACATTCAGGCAACCTTCAGTTTGAATTAACTTTCTTGCTCTTCCCTACAGCTACTGTAAAAAGATGAGCAATAATAGTAATAATAATAATAATTCATTTGGAACACAATGCGCCAGATATCACGGTTGTCGAGGACCGAAGCATACAATTCATTGATATTGCTGTACTAGGAGATGCCAGAGTCAAATAAAAAGAACTGGAAAAAAAATCACGAAATATCGTGACCTGTCCATTGAACTACACAACTTGGATGAAACATGTAAAAGTTATACCCATTGTCATTGGGGCACTTGGTACCATGTCCAAGAATTTTACAAAAAGCATCAAGAAATTGCAACTTCCTGCAACAACACCAGCGGAACTGCAAAAAACTGCACTACTCGGAACATCATATATTTTAAGAAGGTACTCGGTACCTAGGACACTGGCAACAACCCATATCAACCATCAGTACCAGTTAATGGTATTTGTGATGCATTTTTAAATGTTCAGTTGACGAGTTTCATTATTTAATGAATAAAAGAGATAATAATAATAATAATGCTATGTAAATTTACTTGATTTATGTGCAAGTTTAGGCTGCTTTATTTTGTTTATGCTTAAAAAAAAACAAAGCACAAGGCATATTCATTCAAAATGTAACTTGTGAAGGACAATTATTATCAAATT